CCCCAAAACCCCAAAACCCCAAAACCCCATTATCACTAAATAAAATTGAAATCAAGTCATGACATGGCAAATGATTTAATCTTATTGGGTAGTTTTATTTCGTATCTTTATTATTAAAAAATATTATAATTTAAAAACAGTCTTCATATCCTAGAGACTCTTCAAACAGACTCCTATTTACATAAAAAAGACATCTACACGTCTTCTAATTCACCTACCCTCCAGACAAAAATTCACAACTAAAGTAACACAATTCGTCTATTTTCTTGACCATCAAGCAGCATCGACTGCATAGACTCTCAACAATCCGCAACTTATCCAAAGAGCTTTGGCCTTGCCAAGCTTAGCTATCTCCCTCTCTGGCTTCTATCAGCTCCTTCTCAAAATTCCAATAATTCGAATCTCTAAGACATCTGGTCTATTACACGTGTGATCAAATTTATTTTATAAAATCATTCAGCTCTTAAAGATCGTCTTTATTTTCTAACGAGAGTTTTCCCAGACTTAATAACCTGGAAGAGTAGAAGCTAGCACTAATTGGAGACCGAAATAGACTAACAGAAAACTATACTAGAGAGGTTGGGTGTGAAGTTGCACTAAGTGACCATAAACGAAGCAGGATCACATTGTTTTACAAAGGAGTCGTAAAACTAGTCTGATGGCAGCCAGCCCTGGTAAGAAGTCTTTTGTTTGGGGAAATTGGAGAGCATCCTGAATTTGTGAAGAGTTTTAATTTCAGAGTGTTACGGTCAAGGAATGTTTACAAATTTGAGAACTAGCGCCCAAGTCAATCGGATTTAGGGAATATAATGCTTTTAAAATCAAAGAAGCAGTCGACTATAATTTAGTGGGAGGAATAATGGCTTTAAGATTGCGAAATAAAGAGACGATTGTCATGAAATTAGAGCGAAATTAGTTTAGAATAGAGTCGAAGGTGGTCTCATTTATTTTCTCTTTAAGTTCTACAATCTCCATATAGTTGTTCAACAGGATTTCTCTCATCTCGCTGTTGTAGGTAATGGATCTTGATAAAGACTGATGAAGCTGAGGCGGGGAGAATATTTCTTCACTGACATCTGTATCTGTGCTGTCTATTCTTCTCCTTAGAGTCTCCATATTATTGAGAAACAAGCAGTAGTCATCACTTGTATTAAGGCTGTTGAAAGTGGAGTCAGTGATAGCTTGGCCAAGAGAGAGGAGAATGCTTTCAAAATTTGAAGATTCTAATTCAGCAATTTCTTCTCTTGATTTCGTATGCTTCAATTTTAGCCTGTGAATATTTTCATCATCACCCATATCGTATCCTTGAGTATCTGCAGTATTCTGCAAGCTCTTATCAATATGGGGTATGAAATCAGCTAAATCAATTGCATCGAATTCATCTCCTCACTCTGCGTTAATGCTATAATCTTCTTGGTCTTTAATGATTGCCTCTTTATTTTTGAACTTATCAAGTTTAAAAGGTATAGAGCTTTCTTCTTCTAATTTTACAAAGGATTCATCAACTCCTTGGAACTTCTTATCGTCCTCTTTGAAGCTGAGAGTGAATTTTCTGTGTTTATTTTCCATCTGATCATCCCTTCCACCGAACTCATTCTTAGTGATTGGATCATTTCCATCAATGGAAGTTCTGAATTCTCTTAACCCTCTAAATGTCGGACCTTGGTTGGAATTTGGTGACACCAGGGCGTCTGACATTTTTCTGGCGGATTCTCTGAAAGGATTGAAATCTTCATCTTCAAAGTCATCATGAATAGTCTTTTCTTTCTTGGTTGACTCCTCCTTAATTCCAAAGTATCCTTCATCAATAACCAAATTTTCAATATAGGTAGGGGATACTATATTTTTGAACTCAAACTGTTTTCTCTCAAAAATTTCCGGCTTTTTATCTTTCTCAAAAAGCTTGAGCTTGCTCAACATATTTCTAACTCTCGAGCAAGCGGTAGTATCTGAGTTTATCCTCTTTCTTAGTTGCCCCTCATTCTTTAGAGGTCCTTCATGAGGATTATATAGAGGAGGATTTTTATTCTTGAATAAGATGTCCCCACCAAATTCATAGTTGTCTTCGTTCCCTCTTTCCCTTGTTTTTCCTGAAGGTGAAATTTTAGACTCTTCATTTTGGCGCGAATTCTGGTATTTGCATTTATCAGCTTTGATATCAATATTATTATCAGAGGTAGTGATCAGTACAAAGTCATCTGATTCATCAAGGGCAACAAACTTATCCTCTTTCAAATCCTTTGAGGAAGGGGGTGAATTTGATCATTCATTAGGATAATCACGATCAAGTGTGCTTTCACCCACCCTAGAATATGCTGGGTCAAACCCTTTTGCTAAGTACCGATTGATTCTAGCCAATGATTTTAAAGATATATATTCTACTTCAAAGTTGATGTAACCAAAGCCGATATTAAATTTAAATTCAGTCGATTTTGTTCTAGATTCTACTGCAGCTATTCCTCATCCTGATGATAAATTTTCTACAGTGTCTGAAGATGGTACAAAATCAGGCTTTAGCTGATAATTTAGGATATGTTGGAGCTCTCCTAGTCTCTTTCCTGTAGTATTGACAAATTCTCCTAAAGGCAGCTTAGCAACCTTCGAATGGATGGTTGTCAGAATTTTCGAATAGCAATTTATTAGACTCTGATCGTCATCTATATAGTTTTCATTTATCAGCAGGGAAATGTTCCATGTTTCTATTGTTTTTAGATCTTTCTGGCTATCTCATTTCTTTTGAGATTCCCCTCTAGGACTGACTTTTGAGCTCAGAGGAGAGATATTAAAGCTCAGCTGCAAGTAATTAGTCTTGCTTGTTTTGTTGAAGTCTGGAAAACTCTTAAGGTCTCTTTTCAGACCAAATTTTCCGGAGAAATTTTTCCGAAATGGATAATTCATGGGACTATCTACACTGTCTAGCCTTGCTGCCATCTCTGGGAATCGTGCTTCAAGTATTCATTCTATTGACCGTATCAAAAGCTGTTTAGTGATCACCTGCCAAGAGTTGATGCTTTGTTTCGTTTCCATTTAACTTTTTACTATGAAATAACCAAGTTTCAATTAATTTATCTCATTCGGGGTTTTGGGGTTTTGGGGTTTTGGGGTTTTGGGGTTTTGGGGTTTTGGGG